GGGAAGTCGCACACATATCTCGTCTTCCCGTTGCGCAATGCCACATCCTTAGGTCCGGAGGCTGAATAATCCAGACGACAGTACACAAATCGCGATTCGTTGTCCCTATGTTCGACTGTGAAATTTATTTCGTCGCAGCTATCAAAGAGGTAGTGAAGTTGTTGGTATACCTAGCAGTCAACTTTTAAATCCAGCTCATCTTTAAGTGCATGATCACCCACTCAATCCGGATTCGAAACTGCAGGCATGGAGAAAGATGGCGCAGCGACGGAGATAGATGGAGAAAGATGAGGCAGCGATGGAAATAGATGGAGAAAGATGGCGAAGCGATGGAGAAAAATGAAGAAAGATGGAGAAAAATGGCCTCAGCGATGGAGAGATAGTGGAGAGAGATCGCGCGTCGATGAAGAGACGGCGCACCGATGAAGATAGATGGAGACAGATCACTCACCGATGGAGAGAGATCGCGCACCAAGAGAGAGATAGATGGAGATACAGTCTTCCCCCCAATACAACGTACGGTCATTATAGCTGAATTCGGGGCATCTTTCAGTCTAAAGACAGCTATAATCAACGTACATTGTATTCAAGGGAAGAAGGTAGATGGCACAGCGAGGGACAGATATCGCGAACTGACTGAGAGAGATCGCGCACCGATGGAGAGAGATAGCGCACCGATGGAGAAAGATGGCGCAACAATGGAGAGACCAGGTGCAGCGATGGTTGGCGATGGCGCACCGATGGAGATAGATGGCGCACCGATGGAGAGGGTTGGCGCGACGATGACCAAGATTAGTTATTGAACAACATCATTTAATGCCTAATTAATGTTGATATAAAGATCAAAATACACATTTCGTTAAAAGTGAACCTTTTGATTGTTCACTTTTTGTAACAAAGCCGGAATTCATGTTAGAGCGACATAAATAAGAATAAATCGAAACAATCATTGGTAAGTGTTGCTAWGTGGGCAGTGATATGGGTCAACTGCCATCGCTTAGAGTACTGGACCCATCACACACACACACACACACACATACCCCACCGAACCCCAACCACCCCAACACACCAACGGTGTTCGAAGTTCTCCCTTGTAGGCTATCTTCACGGTAGCTTTTTGAAGCGACCGTCGCTCGGCAACTCAGAATAAACTCCAGGTTTGTTCGAGTGCTCCGTGCCCATCAACATGCAAATTGTGCGCTTGATTATGGGCACTGCATAGTTCGTAGGGAGCGGGACACGTACTTCAGCCCCCTCCCCCCCCCCCCCCCCCCC